AGCCCTTCTATTTTTTTCTGTTGTGTGTATATTCGCTACACTCCTCTCAGGATCCAATTATGAATTAGATCATTTAGAAACTGTGGCCCTGATCCTACAAACTTACCCTTATTAATAAAACTGAGTAAAAGTCTTAGTTGTTGAAATAAACTTTAGCTAGTTGGTAAGTAAGTAAGTAAAAATCTTTTAACATGAAAAAGCACTTACCTCCAACTCCCTTAAGATAGTTGCAGCATCGTTTGTCACGAAAAGCTTCTCAAGATGATTGATAACCATTTTGTTCATTCCTAAATGATAAAAAGCTCATCAATTCTTATTTTACACAACTGTAAATACTTCAGTTTGAATTGGTGTTATTTGGTTAATTCCTCTCATTTCACGCAATCAACGGACTATTTTTGTTCTTCATATAAAAGTATTTATAACAAAGAAGTTTACCATAATCAGTTTCCCCTGTAAAGAAGTGGTTTGGGATATTTTGACCTTCATAATTTTTAGCCCTATAAACATTTGTAAATTTGGATTGAGGAATCTGTGAGACCTCTCTCTTCTGAAATAAAGTTTTGAAGTTACATTAAGGGGATACTAACAATTTAAACAAAATTAGTGTTTTGTAATCCTATTACATAATTTAAGATTACTAACAAAAATGTACCAGCACAATATGTTTTTCAGTTTATTTTGTGCATTTGATAGTGCAGTGTGTAGTCAGTTTAACCATATCCCCTATACAGTCAATGTTTCTTCAACTTCAGTGGATCTTTCACATAGCAGCAAATGGGGCAAAAAAAAATTAAATTAGGACAATGATGATAATTCTACAAAAACAGACTTGAGGACTCAGAGGCAGATATGGGATATAAAACTTTTTTTAAAAAATTGACCAGACTGAAAATGCTCCTTTATTGAAATCATGTGACTAAAGACATTTATAACTGAAGTTTTACCACAAACAATGGAATGGTCATCCTTCAAGAAAAACAAATATAGCTTCTTTGTACATAAATATTACAATAAACAGTATAAAATTAGAGAAGGTTACCATTTGGTCCAAGAGCTGTACGGGTTGTTTGGGCAAGCTCCTTACATGCCTGTATGTTCCTAAATACAGCTTCTTCTAATCCTGAAAAATGCTGTCAAAAAAAAAAAAAAAAAAAAAAGTTTATTGCTTAGAATCAGAGGTTCTAACAAAAAAATTCTGGAAGAATTACAGTCACTTGTCATTTGACAGCCAGGATGAAATGCTGGCTTCACTAAAGTCAATAGCAAATCTCCCACTGAGTTATTTTGGAGTGAAATCCTGGCTACACAAAAGTTTAAACAAAAATTCAATCCTCCTCTTTCAAAAACAGTGACAAAGAAGCTAACATACACTGGCTGTCAACTGCAGAGTTTAGCAACTAAAGCAAATTTATGAATATGAAAGAGGAAAGTTGGGTCAACACTCAACAGATTGAACCTCATAAGTCTGTCCAAGTAAATCAGGGACTTCTGGTGAGGATATTGGCTTATGGAGGGCATGACAAATGTCCTCCACACCTACTTGCCTGAGAAAAATGTATGCACCATCATTCCCATCAAGATCACACCCCCAAAGTTATACCATTTACACCACTCCCACATCAGTAAGTCAACTATGCCCCACAAGATAAATAATTTCAAACTCCCTCCCACATACACCTCTACCCCAATATAACACTGTCCTCGGGAGCCAAAAAATCTTACCGTGTTATAGGTGAAACCACGTTATATTGAACTTGCTTTAATCCGCCGGAATGCGCAGCCCCCCCTGGAGCACTGCTTTACCGCGTTGTATCTGAATTCGTGTTATATCGGGTTTCGTTATATCGGGGTAGATGTGTACATACATCCATTTGTAAATTTAGAGCTCCTATCAGTTAATAAATCATGTCTCCTCTCTCACACACCTCTGCAAAGCTCATCTGGGTGCCCTCTAAAAGTCCCAGAGAAAGCTCTGTTTACCAAGCTCTCTCACAACTTCAGGAAAGGTAGAAGCAGCTCCAGCTGTTCTGTTCCTCTGTCTCTTCTTGTTAAAGAAGAACCAGCATCTGTGCCATTTTGCTTCCCCTGTTCCCCTCTCCTTTCTACAAGAGTTCAGCAGCTCTTGCAACTATTCCCTACCTCCAACTACTCTCGTGAATAAAGAAAAGCATAAAGTTCCCTGAGCTGCTTGCATCTCCCATTCTCCATCCTGTTAAGCAGCAGTACTCAGAAACCTCTGTTGCTTTCTTCTCCCTTCCAGAGGAGGAGTCAGCAATAACCTAGTCCAGGGGTGGCCAGCCTGAGAAGGAGCCAGAATTTACCAATGTACGTTGCCAAAGAGCCACAGTAATATGTCAGCAGACCCCCGTCTCCCAGCACGCCTGATCAGCTGTTCGGGGCATGCAGGAGGCTGGGGGGGGGGGGGGGGGGGGGGGGGGGGGGAGGTGTGTGAAAGCGAGGGCAAGGCAGGCTCAGGGGAGGGCTGGGAAGGGGTGGAGTGGGGGCAGGGCCTGTGGCAGAGCCAGGGGTTGAGCAGTGAGCACCCCCCAGCACATTGGAAAGTTGGCGCCTGTAGCTCCAGCCCCGGAGTTGGTGCCTATCTAAGGAGCCGCATATTAACTTCTGAAGAGCCGCAAATGGCTCTGGAGCCACAGGTTGGCAACCCCATACCTGATCTCTCTCTGTCCATTTATTTGAGCAAAGTTTCTATTCTCCTAGGCAGGTTTGTCAACTCCTACCAAAATACATGTTAAATACATGTTAAATACACCTCTACCTCGATATAACGCGACCCGATATAACGCAAATTCGGATATAACACGGGAAAAAAGTGCTGGGGGGGGGGGCGCTGCACTCTGGTGGATCAAAGCAAGTTCAATATAACGCTGTTTCACCTACAACGCGGTAAAAAATTTTGGCTCCCGAGGACAGCATTATATCGAGGTAGAGGTGTCTATTAATTCAATGTTGAGTGTAGCATTGTACTAAGCATTTTGCTTCTCTGGAATTTTGTTTGTAAACAGTATAGTAAGAATAGACCAGGGGTCGGCAACGTTCGGCACGCGGCTCGCCAGAGTGAGCACCCTAGCTGGCCGGGCCAGTTTATTTACCTGCTGACGTGGCAGGTTCGGCCGATCGCGGCCCCTACTCGCCGCGGTTTGCCGTCCCGGGCCAATGGGGGCGCCGGGAAGCGACACGGGCCGAGGGATGTGCTGGCCGCGGCTTCCCGCCGCCCCCATAGGCCCGGGACGGCGAACCGCGGCCAGTGGGGGCCACGATCGGCCGAACCTGCCGCGTCAGCAGGTAAATAAACTGGCTCGGCCCGCTAGCGTGCTTACCCTGGCGAGCCGCATGCCGAACGTTGCCGACCCCTGGAATAGACTGATATAAGGGCATTCATTGGTAACAGGAGTTAATTTATTAGCATTTGCATTTCACAGCTGGGGCTCATTTGTGCTAAGCACTGTGTGGCTATATATCAAAACAATTCCTTGCCCAAACAGCTTGCAATATCGAAAGCCAAGCAACCTACACAGGGTGAGGGATCAGAGTCTCAATAAAAACAGAGTTGTGGTTGAACGGCCCGACAGCTGCTCAAAATTACCCACTGTCAGTTGCCTAAAGCTTTGGGGGCATTACTGTTAATACTTTCATAGACTCCAAGGCCAGAAAGGACTCCTGTGATCTAGTCTGACCTGTATATTATAGACCATATAATTTCCCCACAATAGTTCCTAGATCATATATTTTACAAAAACATCCAATCTTGATTTTAAAATGGCCAGTGACGGAAAAAAGTCACCACAAACCTTGGCAAATTGTTCCGCTGGTTAATTACTCTAACCCTTAAAAACGTACATCTTTCAATCTGAATTTGTCTAGTTTCAATTTCCAGCCATTGGATCATTTTATATCTTTCACTGCTAACCTGAGGAGCCCATTATTAAATATTTGTTCTCCATGTAGGTACTTTTAGATTGTAAAAAGTCACTCCTTCACTTTCTCTTTGTTAAACTAAAAAGACTGAGCTCTTTCAATCTACCACTATAAGGCACGTTTTTCTATCCCTTTAATCCTTCTCGTGGCTCTTCTGTCAACCCTCTCCAATCTGTCAACATCTTTCTTGATTTATGGACACCAGAATCCGGCACAGATTCCAGTGGCGATCACGCCAGAGCCAAATACAGCGCTACAATAACCTCACTGCTCCTACTCAAGTCTCCCCTATTGATGCATCCCAGGATTACAGTAGCTCTTTCGGTCACAGCATCGCCCTGGGAGCTCCTGTTCACCTGCTTATCCACCCCAAGGCACAACTGTTTTCAGTCACCGCTCAGGCAACAGGGGCCGCGAGCCCAGGGCAGGGTAACACCGGCAGGTGAAAAGGGGAGATTCGCTCCAGCCCGGGCCCTGCAGCCGGCTCGGCCCCGCCCAGCCCCTCCCCAGGTTGCAGCTGCGGCCCCGCCGGCAGCCTCCAGGGCGGCCACGCGCGAACCCGCCGTGGAGCAGAGACGGGGGAGAAGCTGCCCCCGAGCCCGCATCTCGCGGCCGGAGCCCCCCGCCCCCCACTAGTCCGAGGGGGAGGGGCACCGCGGACACGACAGGCCCCGCCCTCCTCAGCGCGTGGAGCCGCAGGGTCCAGCCCGGGCTGCGCTTCTGGAAGCTTCTCCGGCCCGGCCCCGGGGGCGCGCGGGAACCCCAGGCCCGGTCCCGCTCTCACCTTGGCGCCTTCTTTCAGCATCTGGGCAAAGCCCGGGGCCTTGGGCACGTGCATCGCCATGTCCGCTCGGAGCAGTGAGGCCAGCCACGCGCCGTGATGCACGAGCTGAACCACGGGAAACGGGAGAATGGAGGGAGCTTGCGCACGCAACTCACAAGCCCCTCCCCTGGCACGCAGGCGCAGAAGGAAACAGCCGCGCCAGGCGGCGGCGGGCTCCCTCCTTCCTCCCAGGGAGAAGCGAATGATTCCCAGAGAACATCGATCGGAGGGCGGACGGAGGCTGGTTCGTGGACGCGCGGGAGGAGGAGGTGGAGTCCCTGTGACAGCGGAGGGGACGAGTTGCGCGCGCCCACAGCAGCCGCCTTGCGCCTTCTCCCAACGGCCGGACTGCGCTGCCTCGCCTCGCTCTGCAGCCGCGAGCCGGGCTTCGTCCCTGTGCCTGCGCAGCCAGCCTGTGCTGCGTGTAAAACCGGGTCCCGCTACACGCCCTGGTGAGCCCCGTGTGGCCGCGCACACGTCAGGCTGAGTGGGGGCAGCAGGCACTCAGGGCCCAGCGCGGGGCGGGGCGGGGCGGGGGTAGCTCAGCAGACCCGAGGTGACTCAGGCCCCAAGCTCTGTCATTTTGCAGTGTGGACAGGGGTCAAGTCGTAGCTCCCAGCCAGAAGCTCTGCGACGGGCACTTCCGCTGCCATAGCACGACTGTGGGGCCAGCAAATGTAAACCCAGGTTTGCAATGTAATGTGGATGCTCAAGTGTGGGTTTGGAAACTCCCAAGTCCAGGTCCCACAGACCCAGGTTTACAACACAGTGTAGGCATGCCTACTGTGCCCAGGGCTTTAGTTACTTGGCTCAGTGTTTCCAGAGAAGGGCTCCTTGTCCCCCTCTCCCATGTGGGAGATGATGTGGGAGGAAGAGCAGGGTGTTTGCAGCCCAGCTGTTTGTGACACCCTTTCCCCCAGGCTGAAACCCCAGAGTATGCACTGTGAATGTTGACTATGGTGATGCATCATCAGCAAGACTAAGTTTTAGTCCCGGGTATTAGTAAAAGTCACGGGCAGTAAACAAAAATTCACGGCCCATGACCTGTCCATGACTTTTACTAAAAATACCAGTGAATAAAATTGAGGGGGGGTGCCCGGGACCCCCGCTGGTGTGTGGGGGTGGGGCCAGCAGGCCCCCTACTTGGCTTCACACTTCCCCCCCCCAGCAGCAGCAGAGTTTGGGTGTGGGAGGTGGCAGGGGGTTGGGGCCCAGCCAATGGAAGCTGCAAAGCCAGCATTCTGGGTGGAGGCAGCGCACAGACCTACCTAGCCATACCTCCGCCTAGCAGCTTACGAGGGGGATGTCACTTCTTCTAGGGAGCTCCCAGGTAAGCGCTGCTCAGAGCCTGCCTCACCCCCTCCTGTGCCCCAACCCCCTGCCCCCTCCCACACCCAAACTCTGCTGTGGGGGACGGGCGTTGTAACCTGGGACTGCCACAGCAGCAGCCGGTGCGCCTGGCGCAGGGGCTGCCTGAGCTGCCCCTGAGCCAGGCACACCGGCTGCTGCAGAAGTCACGGAAACTCATGGAATCTGTGATCCCCATGACAAACCTCAGCCTTAATCATCAGCATCAAAGCAAAAGGGACATAGCTTGCTTGCAGATCCGGTACCACCCAGATCAATCTTGAAATTGTATGGCTTACTAGAAGACCATTTGGATTTGATGATCTGGCAGGGTGTTCTGTGGTCTACACTTCAGATGTAGGTGGACATAGTGTTATGGTGCTCAGTGGTGTGAAAAAGACACACCCCTCAGCGATTTAGTTATGTTGATCCAGTGTCGATTCAGCTAGGTCAGTGGAAGAATGCTTCCATTGACCTAGCCCACTGTCACTCAGGTTCCTACAGCAACAGAAAAGCCCCTTCTGTTGCTGTAAGCTGCATCTAGCTATGGGGCTATGCCATTATAGCTATGTCTGTATCTGTCATCTCACCACTGAAGCTTTTGGTGACCATGTGATCGCTAACTGTGTAGAGGCCTTCCTTGATAAATGTTCTTCATAATACACAAAAGCTGTGCAGAGAAAAAGGAAGATGCATTCAAATAATAACAATAATCAGTCTAGATTCAGGGGTTAGGAAGCCTTTACAGATTGTAAGCCTTAACTTCTTAGTCCTTTGCTTCTCTAAATTAATTTGTTAGTGGTTATATAAATGAGCTAAGCTTCATTCTGTAACCAAATTCTTTCTGCACAGCTTTTGTAAAAGACATACTATCCTTGTTATTTTAATAACTGAATTAAACTAAACTGCTTTACGCCCCACTACTGGTGTGTAACTAAATCTGTTTATTCTAATCTTACGTTTATTTAGCTCCACCAGTACAAATTTTCTTAGGGTATGTCTACACTA